AAGAAAAGAAAAGAAAAGAAAAGAAAAGAAAAGAAAAGAAAAGAAAAGAAAAGAAAAGAAAAGCAGCAATGTAGGTTATACTTCAGAATAGAATTCTTTGTTTCTTCAAGATCACGTTTTGCCACTTGGGTATTTAACTCCACTCAAGATGATTTTTATGAACAATTTACAGTCTGTCTGTTCTTTTGTGAAAGACACACCTTTTCTTCTTTACCCTACTCTCCATCTTGACAAAAAAGTTTCAAAACTAGTGTCTCATTTTGCTGACTCTTGTTACTTGAGAGAACTAGTTTGATGACAGATCTTCAATGGATGCAACTGTGATGATCACACTCCACTTCTATTCCCATCTTCCACACTCTAAGTTATCTCAAGTTAAATAACTTTTCTTTTTCCATTCCCATTCTGAAGTACCAAGGTTGTCAGTGCCTAATGTATTGGTACATCCATGACTGGCCATTGAAGTGATGTTGAAAGTGTTTTTGAGACTGTTGCTGTATTTCATGATGTACACACTGAGAAGCATCCATGCTAGAAATATGCTAATGTGCCCCTAATATCAAGGTCACCTTCAGTTCTTCACTGAGATCATGCAGTAAGTAATAATGACACATAGTACAAACACTACCTTTTCTCAATTTTCTGCTGTCATTAGCTCTTGGCATCACAGTCAGCAGCAAATATAAAAAGGTGTACAAAGGCAATTTTTTTTTTTAAAGAATATGTTTATGTAAAATAAAAAAAAAAAGAACAACAAAGACTTGGAGTTTGCATTGGAAGACAAAGATAAGGAAACTTTCTGTCCAAGTGGAGAAGTTGTCAGGTTTCAGTTGCTTCTCCTTATGAGCTTCACTTTCTGCTTTTGTGAGGAGAAAGGAGAATGGTTAAAAAAAAAAAAAAGAATAAGACCAAACAAGGATACATATAAAATAGAAGGCAGTCAGAAAAGTAAAAGAACCTTATTCAAATACTGTTAACAACTAAGAACAGTATATTCCCATCAAAATACAAAGCTACAATGGGAACATGAAGGAAACATCCTGCTCGGAGGGTGAGAAATCTCAAAACAATTTTCAAAACTGAAACAAGTCAACTAAAAACTATCTTGTTCCATTTCATTGGTCACGTACAGTGCTGATGTGGTAACTACTGGTGTTATCTCAATGAGCTTTTTTGATTCAAAAAAGAAAAGCACTCATTATTTTATTTACAGAAAAAGACACCACCAAAACATTCAGAAATTTATATTAAGATTACTAATATACTTGCAGGCAAGCATCCAAGATTTACTCTATAAAGAGTAGAAGAGCAGTTTTCAACATACCTTCTCCTCTAAACATTCCTTTTAACATCAACACATTTTTGAAGAAAATTTAGAGTAAAATTGTAAGAGAATAAAATATTTTTAACCTGTTCAAATTTGCTGTTGTTCTACTTAGAATTTTCCATGTTTGCTAATCAAGTTTCCTAGAATTTCCGGCTCTGGTATTAGGTATAGCAAGGCAGGTAAATTCATATTTCTTAGTCTGGTTTGGTTTTTTTTCCCCTCGAGACGATTTATGTTATTTTTCACTCTATAATCACCAGGGCTAATGATCTACTACAAAAGATTAAGATCTAAAAATCCAGATCATAAAGTCAAAAAAGATTTCATATCCATAAATTAACTCCCACTCTTGAAAATCAAGTATCTATCCCATTCATGAGCATTTTAAACTGGTCCCTCCTCAGGCAGTGAGGTTATTTTAAACTTCAAAGTTAATCCTCTCTTGATCTGGAATAATTGCTGTAAGAGCCTACAAGTCTTTCTGAGTGCTCTTCGCCAGCTGTTATGACCTACCTGTTTCCTTTATTCATTCCTTAAAATTAAAAATGCATTCCTGTTCCAAATTAACCCTTTCTCTCCTAAAAAAACAATCACCTGTGAATTTTCACAACTGCATCACTGTCTGCAATGCAGTTGCATGCTACAGCAACAAGTGGATCTTTACCTATAACTATTACTGAGGGCACACAGCACCAGATTTGCTTTAACTGAGGTCTGAATATACCAGCTAAGAATTTTAGATGGAAAGGAGTCTTAGTAACTGTATGGGAACTATTGAATCACAGCCTGAACCTCTGATTGATCACATGAGGCAAGCAATGAGTCAGCCTTGGGAGCACCAGGTGAAGGCAGTTCACCTGTGTGACCAGAAAGGGTGGAGCCTGGCTCCACCTCTCCTAGACCCCATTTAAGGGCTGACTGCCACTGAGGAAGGATCTCTTCTGGAGATTGCTTCCCTTGGAGTTTTTTTCTGCAAGCCCAGGACATGGGTAAGCTTTTCCATTCATTTCTGATTATCCCTTTCCAATGCAATAATCTTTCTAGCTATATGCTCTGTAAATAACAGTCTAACCACTCTGTATGTTTGTTGATTATGCACATGGCAAGCCAGCAGGCCAAATATACTAAAATATGTTTTTTCTCTGAAATATCTATAAATGGGTTGGGGGGAGACCATTACCCCCCTAGACAAAATGATCCCTAGACAGATCCCAGGATTTCTGGGATCCCCTTATTATGAATTAGCAACCATAACTGAAAAATGGGGTCCCCTATGTGTTATGGGAATTACTTCCCCATTCCATATGGCAGACTATTTTCACAGGCTAAGCAAAGATATGCTGGTTACAAAAGAACAGCAGCTAGTTGCCTTTATAGTGGCATGGCCACAGTTAAATGCTTTAAATCAGGCTGAAATGAGGGCCGATACCTTAAAAAATGAAAACCAGTTATTGCGAGATCACACTGAAAAACTAGAGCAAGAATTTGGTGTATTGACAGGGAAAAAAACTTGGAGTTTTCCAATAGGGCAGGTCTGTAATATTTCAATAGATCATAACCAGATTTCTGAATCAACGGATCTGGTTGATCTGGAAAATAAAATTCTAAATTGGACCTCAATGCACCACTTGCAATGAATCCCTTGGAGATCCATCCTATTATAACTCAAAAAAACCAAAAAAGTACAAGATAGAGCAGCAGGGATGCCCCCTGTTCAGTGGTCCTCTGCCCAAACTCCCATGTAATGGCCCACTGATATACAGCAATGGAGTTAAAGGACCTTGTGCAACAGTTAAGACAGAAACCGAGAGAAAGTGAGCTAACTTGGCTATTAAGATTATGGATTCAGGGGCAGAAAGTGTTGTGGTTAATAGTCCAGAAATCTCTGAACTACAACTGTGTATCCTCCCCTTACATGGTAGACAGAGGTTATATGCTGGCATCCAATATACCAATGAAAACCATTCCATAGTAGATTGGTTGATGGTGGCATGCCATATAGTCTGGCCTAATAAATCAGATATATTGTTACATCCGGGGTTATGGTCTTCCATGGAGGACCTTCAAAACTACATTTGAGAACTGGGTATGAGGGAAATGATCTGTGAAGATACATTTGACAGCCCAGATAAGATTTTCAGCAGGTAAGAGATTTGATCTTGCAGCAGGCCCCTTCCTATCTATATGGGACTTTAGTTGCTATACTGACCTGGTGGCCTCAGAGTCTGTAGTCCAACATGCTGCCCAACTAGTAGCCGATCTGGGGGAGACAGAACGCCTGTGGATGAAGCACAATATTTGCACATTGGAAGAAGCAGAAGTTCTTCCAGTAACTAGAACTAGGAGATCAACTGTATGAACTTCTCAACTGGGACCTGTATGAGCATCCTGAAAGAAAATGTTTCATGACTTAATCTGGGCTGGAGTCCAACTTGCAAAAATTGATCGCCAGCCCAATCATGTCCTCCTTCAACTATGGAAACAGTTGAAGGATAATCAAAAATTTTAAAACTACCCAAAAAAAAAAAAACCTAGGGTAAGAATTACTGATAGATTGCCAGTGACAACATGGAGCTTAGAAGATGTTATAGTTCCTAGTAGGAAAAAAGAAGCCTCCTCAAGTGTCTTGGGCCACAATGCCTGAGCCACCAGAAGTAAAAGACTTGGCTATAGTACAACTTATGGCATGATAGGGGATGTTACTCCCCCTAGGGCCTCTCAACAGAACCAGAGGCCCTGTGTAGAATTAACAGTTTTTGGTTCTGAAATAATATTCAGAGGGTGATGGCATTGGTTGACACAGGCGCAGAAACACTGATAATTTATGGAGATCCAACTAAATTCAATGGTGACAGAGTGATGATTGGTGGTTTTGGGGGACATACCATTCTAATCCTCCAAACATAGAGGAAACTGGGGATTGGGCATCTCCCACCCAGAAGTATAAAGTGTCTAATGCCCCAGATCAAGACTACAGCTTTGGGCGTAGATATTTTACAGGGTCTGGCTCTCCAGATGACTGCAGGATAGTTTGGACTTTGATGAAGGTGAATTAGTATCTGGGCAGTGCAGGCAATATTGAGAGGCTATGCAAAGCATGAGCCTATTTGCCTGCTGAAACTGCACTGGATTACAAATGTGAGACAGTATAGGCTCCTGGGTGAACAAGATAAAATATCAAGAATGGTGCAGGAGTTAGAAAGAGTTGGTATAATAAGACCTGCACATAGCCCACATAATTCCCCCATATGGCCAGTGCAAAGGTTGAATGGAACATGGAGGATGACAGTGGATTATAGAGAATTAAATAAGGTCATGCTGCAAATTCATGCAGCTGTACCCAATATTGCCTCCCTAATGGTCACATTAAGTAGGGAGATAAAAACCTGCCTTTGTGTCCTAGATTTAACAAATGCATTCTTCCATATTCCAATTGCTGAAGAATTGCAAGACCAGTTTGTGTTTACACGGGGAGGCAGGCAGTGGACCTTCCAGGTCCTGCCATAGGGGTATGTGCACTCATCAACATATTGCCATAATCTAGTGGCACGTGGCCTGGCTAATTGGAGAAAATCTGATAATGTTAACTTGTATCATTATATTGATGATCCCCTGTTGACATCTGACTCACTGGAGGCAGTAAGACAGGCAGCAGATTCATTGACTACCACTCTGCAAGAAAGAGGATGGGCTATAAATCCTCAGAAGGTACAAGCTCCAGGCCTGACAGTAAAATTCCTGGGGGTAATTTGGTCAGGAAAGACCAAAGTACTACCTAGTGCTGTAATAGATAAGGTGCAGGCATTCTCAGTCCCTACAACACCAAAGCAGCTGCAGGAGTTTTTAGATATATTGGGGTACTGGCATTCCTTTATACCTCATTTAGCACAGCTGCTGAGGCAACTGTACAGACTCAGGAATATAGGCAATAATGGGAGTGGGGGAAAATGAAACAGGATGCTTTCCAACAGGCAAAACTGGCAGTTAAACAAGCCCAGACATTGGTTATATTTGATCCTACCCTTCCAGCCAAGTTGGACATGTCACATAGGATGGCTTTTGCTAGGGTTCGTGGCAATGCCAGAGTTCAGACCCCCATTGGATTCTGGTCTCAGGTCTGGCACAGAGCAGGATATATAGTATGACTGAAAAACAGTTATTGGCTGCCTACTCCACATTACAGGCAGTAGAGCTGACAACTCAAACAGCTGAAATCTTAGATAAGACCACTCTGCCAGTTCAGGGGTGGGTGAAAGATCTGACCCACCTTCCTAAGACAGGGGTGGCCCAAGCACAAACAGCGGCACGATGGGTGACCTATCTCAGCCAAAGGAGTAGTCTGTTTTCATCACCACTCAAAGAAGAACTTCAAAAGATCCTAGGCCAAGTGATGTATCACAATGATGCACCAAAAGAAACATTAGTCGCTCCACCAGAAAAGAGTCCTGTTCAGGAGGGGAAGTATCCTATCTCTGAAGATGCCTGGGACACAGATGGGTCCAGCAAGGGCAACCTGAGCAAGTGGAGAGCAATAGCATACCATCCTCCCACTGAGACAGTCTGGTTTGACGAGGGGGATGGTCACAGCAGCCAATGGGCAGAACTGCGAGCCGTGTGGATGCTAATAACCCAGGAACCTGGTGATGGTATCCTGAATATCTGTACAGATAGTTGGGCTCTGTACTGGGGGCTCACTCTTTGGATTGCACAGTGGGCCACCCAGGAATGCACTATCCATGCCCAACTAATCTGGGGCAAAGATATGTAGTTAGGCATTTGGAATGCAGTCAAACACAGGACAGTACATGTCTACCGCATTTCTGGTCACCGACCCCTATAGTCACTGGGAAATGATGAAGCCAACACACTGGCCTAAGTTCGATGGATTGAGAACTCACCATCTGAGAACATTGCCCATTGGTTACATCAGAAACAGCATGCTGGACAAAAGACAACATGGGCAGCTGCTAAAACGGGGACTGCCCATACCGCATCTGACATCATCCAGGTATGCTGAGATGCTGTGACACTTGCTCCAAGACTGAGACCATTACCCAAAACAACAGCCCACCCTGATAGAGGACACAATTCCCTCCAGCAATGGCAGGTTGATTACACCGGACCCCTCTCTCAGTCTGAGGGGGTGAGATATGCCCTGACCTGAGTCAGTACTGCAAGTGGGCTACTGCAGGTCTATCCAGTACCAAAGGCAAACCAGGCATATACCACCAAGGCACTCACTAAACTGATGTCTGCCTACAGGACACCTCAAGTCATCAAGAATAACCAAGGGACTCATTTTACTGGTGCAATAATACAACACTAGGCAGAAAAAAAACAATATTGAATGGCAATTCCACCTGTCATCCAACAGGAGCAGGCCTCATTGAATGTTATAACAGTATTCTTAAGGCTGCCCTGAAGACAGACTCCCAGTCCCTGTAGTGGTGGACAAGACGACTCTATGAAACCCTGCAGGACCTGAATGAAAGATTTAGAGATGGCAGACCCAGTGCCCTGAAAATACTACAGACAATGTGGGCCTTCCATCTTAGTACCCAAGTTGCGGGCACTGATAATCAGTTAAGACCCTAGATTAGGAGTGAAAATAACCTTCTGCTCCCTGCCCCTGAGAATCTAGATCTGAGTACCCATAGAATAAAATGGCCTTAGAAGGTGCAGGTAGACATCCTCTGAGATGACGACTTCACAACGTCTCCAGTCAACCTTACAGTAAAGAAGATAGTCTGCATGTTTGTACTGAATTTTGTGTACAAATTTTAGGCTGTTACTCCTTGTCCTATTGCTTACACACTATTGGGAAGAACCTGGCCTCATATGTTTGCCCCCCAGCTTCCCCTAGATATTTATAAACACTTATCAGATTTCCCCTCGGTCTCCTTTTCCCCAAGCTGAACAGACCCAGGTTATTCAGCCTTTCCTCATACAGGAGATGTTTCAGGCCCTTAATCATCTTTGTGGCCCTCTGCAGGAATCCTTCTAGGAGATCCCTGTCCTTTTTGAACTGGGGAGCCCAGAAATGGACACAGTGTTCTTAACTACAAAGAGAAAGGAAATAGAGATTTTTTTTAACACAAAAACACTTCCTGGTGACACTAACATGCTAGTATGATTTTATTTTTTTACTGTTATAATTACAAGTAAATGTGATACCCAGTCTTATTCATGGACAAGTCAAGATAAACACTTTTACAAAAATTATAACTTTAATTAATAAAGAACTGCCATTTATATACATATTTATAAATACTAATCCTACTGCTTAAACAAACACAGGCAGAACACATATCATACCTGCAGAATATTTTACTTCTGTTGAAGAAGTTGATATCTTCATATATTTATTTCAATTTTGGGAGAACTAATTTCCAATTATCAAAATACAAGATGGATGCCATAGAAGAAAAACTGCAAACAATTTTGTATGAAGAAATATAATGGAAATACCTGTCTCCAATATAACTGTGAAACATAGCCAGCAGATTTTGATTAATAAGGTATCTGGGAGCTCTTAGTATATAGATTAATTGTAAATTACTTCAAACACTGTTATGCAGACACATTTAGGAACCTTATAGTAATGCAAAGGTAGAAACTAAAAAATCCTTTTTTTTTTTAAAGTTACAATAAACTTATTTAAAGAAACAAATGTTAAGACTTCCAATGATCACTCATCTCAGCTGGACTTTTAGAGCTCATACTGCAAACTATTACTTTTAAGCTGGATTGTTTCTTCATACAATTTGTTTGCTTAGATGGCACTGTGCCTAAATACTACACTGTCATGGAACTGTATCTTAAAATGAGAAATATAGAAGATCACACACACCTTTTGGATCTTGCAAGTATCAAAAATCACAGCTATTTGTTGTATTATTCTATAGCTATAATTCGAGGTTTCCCTACTACTTATTAGTTATGCAACAGAAGATTGATCATAATTATATTCTCAGCAATACTATCTAGATATCACATTGCTCTAACTACTGCTTTCATTGTCTGTGAAACCACAGTTCCTCCCAAAATATTTGTAACATCATGTGCCAGCTTCCTTAACTGGAAAACAAACATATCAGCTCCAAGTATTTGTTTCCCCTTCCTACTTTCATTAAATGGAAGCGTTCTAAGTCTGAATGGTGTAAACTTAGTTAAGGAATTGACACTGCATCAACCATAAAAAACACAAAAGATTTACAATTCAAGCAGAAAACATTATTCTAAATAACTCTATTTTAAAAGAATTTAGCCTGCAGGTGGGATTTCTCATATCCTATTTTGGAACTTTTTAGCTTTCCATTCTGACTTAGCTCTACGCTGAAAGGCAGTCCATAAATAAGCAGATACTGCCCCCAAATCAACCCAGTAGAGAAATAACCCCGTGTTCTGTGCAGTGTTGACCCCAAAGTTAGGAGCCTAGGGTAACTCCAGTGAATGCCTATTTGCCTGCTGCACTTTCTCAACCACAACATACAAAAAAATATTATTTCTTTCATATTTAAAAGGACTGTAAGCCTAAGGCTAAACATTGTTGTTACTTGATCTCCCACAGAATTTCCCCAGTGAACTTAAGGAAAATAATTCTCCCCACATTTCAGCGTGGAAGAACCATAGCAAAGCTTTGATTGTTTTTTTCCTCCTGTGCAAAAAGGAGCTACATCTCCAAAAACACTAATGACATACACAGGATCACAACTAATGAAATAATAATTCAAATAAATGCCTGTAATGGGACCATTAATAAGCAGGATTAGACCATACTGACAATTAATTCTGAAGGGTGCAGCTCCATATCTCCTTCCTGGTAGAGAAACCAGTTTAAAACAACCTGCTGCCTCCTATACATTTTGCAGAACAACCTGCAGCTAAAATTCTTCCTCCCTTTCAGAGCAGCACTGCCTGCAGGTGCTTGCACAGGGTGATTATTACACTGGTCCAGCTGACAGGGTAACTTCTTTAAACAGGTGCAAAACTGATGGGGAAGTGAAAAAGCAATGTATTTGTGAGAATAGCTAACAAATTTTTTCATCTGCACTTAACAGTGAAAATACGTAACAAAACATGTCAAAAAAGTTCCTGGCAGGATGCATCTCAAATCAAGACTGCTCTGTAAGCATACTTCAGATATTGACAATAGCTGTAATGCAACATGTCTCCCATCGTTTTTGCAAGCTTTTAACTATTATTAGTTGAAAATTCAAGCAACGCATCCGAGAGAAATAAGGAGTAACAAGCTTATGAAAATAAACATGATGAACAACAAAACCTTTATGGGAAAACTTCCTCAAGTCTCAGTATTCACTGAGGCCCATTGCTCCACACTGACAGCAGTAAAGGGAAAGAGCTGGGTTCAAGTCCTGTGATCTAAAACATATGCTTTCCTTTATAGACAGTACGCTCAATTCCTTTAATTTACTCACAGTAAGAACTCTATTTTTCCATGAATTACTTGTAGGCCAAGAAAGCTAATGGAATTAAAAATAGGGCACAGACAAAAAACCTACATTTTGAAATCCGAGTTGGCCAAAAAGTGATAAACTCAAGCATGAGGATCATTGCCTCAAAGACAGTCCAGACAACAGCTCTGGTAAGCATTCATTACACATTTCACATGGAAGTGAACTCTGGAAGCTAACAGTAATTTAAATGTAAAAATTAAGTGTTGTGTTGCAGATAAGATCTTACTAGATGGGGGTTGGTTGACTCCTCGCTATAATTTCTATTTCTTTTTAACTAAGCCAGCCAAAAATGCTCTTGGTGTTTCCACTCACTATTGTGTTTTATAAAAATAAAACAGTCTTATCAGCAAAGCAATACTCCTAGAATAAATCACACCACTAATCGTTTTAGTTACGCAAGGAAAACTTTCCTCTGTAGATGTACAATTACTCAGAGGAAAAGTTCTATCCAACCTACACTGGAATGCATTACCCTGTGGGTGCAAGCACGTACTACTAACAAAGCAGTGTCAAATGAGGTAGTGCTAAAACTAGAGGCATTAATGCTGTGCTCTACCCCAAACAATTTGCCTTGCTGGAACTATCTCCCTCTACAGTGCATCCTCTAGGAAATAATGCCTGGAAAACAATTATGAAAAGCAAGTGAATGTATTTTAAAATACATGTATTATGAAATAGGTATCTGCTATGAAGCAGGATCACTGAGGATCAATGAAGGAAGAAAGTCCTATTCTTTCATATGTTATGCTTGCTTACTTCTACAGTAAAATAAGAATTAAATTTACTACACAGAATATTTCTAACAAGAAGTCCCTGGAGATTTTCCTTTTTTCCTTCTTAATAACTTAGATCTTGCAATAACAGTATTTAGTACTACAGCTTCCCCCCCAAAAAAAACCCACCAAAAAACCCACCTGCATTTCTGAAGAGTGTCCAAGAAAGTTTATTTTTTTTCCACAGACTGATCCCAAATCATAAGAAACAGGCTGGGAGTTATAGCAATACAGTGCTCTAGCACTGTATTGGACAAGCAAGTGGTTTTAGTTTGGGTTGTCAGCCCCAGTCATGGAACAAAATCATAAAGAATGAAGAAAGTCCAAAATAACATAAATTGAAAGAGTTAAGTACACACACCAGCTTCTCAGCATACCTTATAAGCACCCTAACAATTCCTGTATTCTACTGTTGGCAGAATACTTAGCAATCTTGGTGACTGTTGTAACTTGCTCTGTAATTCTGTGCCAAAACAGAAACATGGTAATGACATTGAATAGGTAATTAGTAACTATTAAAACGGTATACAAACTAGGGCGTAGTCAAGGTGCTAGCATCTGTCTAACCCACCTGGAGCAATTTGGCTCCCTAACAAAGCATCAAAGATGGTGGCGTCTCTGTAGAAGTTTTTATAAATCACTCACATGGGCTATCAAAGGGTAAAACAAACTTAGCTTCATGTTAAGTCTTCTCACATGAAAATCGTGAAGAAAAAGTTTTATAGATCCCTTAAAACAAACAAGGAGAACAACAACAAAAAAAATCAACAAAACAAGAATTCATTAAATATGATGTTTCAAGTAAAATGGGTTCAGGGTCTTGTTTTAACTTCTAAACCCGAAGCATCTGAAATGCTCCCCAGACTTCTCTAGTTTCAAGTGCTATAGGCACATGGGAAGTATTTGTATGTCCCCTGTAGACTACACACTACTTTGCACTTCTGGGAAACAGCAGCCAGCCCATTCCTAGAGCCACCATCTTTTTCTCATTCCCTTATACCAGCAGCTGCTCCAAGAGCAGGAATTCCACTTTATTTTGCCTCCTCAATAGACAATGGCAGTTTTCTTTGCTCCTCCCCTACAAGGAGGAGTAGAAGGAAGAGGTGCTAATACTTTGTGAACATGCTTGACATCCATATAATATCAAAGTTAAAACTGTTGTGCTTCAAGAGGATTCATATAGTGTTGGTAATTCATTAAGTTTCACCATTGGTCAAGTCAAGTATTAAACCTTATTAGAAAGATTTTCCCAGAAAATCCTTTCTTAGAAAAGAACACTTCTGCACTTGAAACAAGTTTGAGGTCATAATATTGTTTAAAAAGTAATATGCAAGTAGAATAAATTCACCATTGTTTCAGTTGGAAACCAAACCCAGACTGCTCTTAAGAGTTTCTATATTCCTTTTTTGTACTTTTTTTTCCCCCCTCTTCTCTTCCATGAAATCAGACACCATTTAATGATCACGAAACCTAGACTTGACTCACTGCAGTTTCCCACCATAACAACCTCTGCACTCTGTTAGAACAGGATTGAACACTGCCAATTCAAGCCTTGCCAGTAATAAGTAGGTCTTTATATACAAAAGGTGTGAAAAACTGAGTACTCTTCTGTGGATGTTATAAAGCTATTAATTCAAAGGAAAGCTGCAATATCAACACAAAGACGTTTCCAGATGCTAATTACCACTACAAATAGAAATATATGAAATGCTATTGCACATAGAATGCTGACAAGAGTGCACGTAGAGGCTGACAAGGTGTATTACTATCAAATGGGTAATAATTCTAGAAGTTGAATGAATGAAAACTTGCAGAGCTTCCTAAAGCAAGCTCAGGACTGGTTACCCTACATAAGCTTTTTAGCACTAGTATTTCCTGCACAACTGATTTTCAAGTTTGTTTTGAACTCAGAATACAGAGGCTGTTCTGGAATCTACTCCAACAGCTACAGCTCTGTTAGAAATCAGCTATTGGGTTTCTATGCTATAAAGTAAGTTTCTCATACATCATTTCATTTTCTGATCCATTCCAGATTTTAACCCAGCATGAACACAGCATAAAGTCATTCCTAAGAATATCTAATATAAATAGACCTGAAGAGACTAATTGACCCACTGAGAGCTAACACAGCAGCATGTCTGCACTTGTACTTCAGCTACCACAATCTATAACAGCAAGAAGGCTATTTTAACAGAGCAAAATAAGATATACCAACACAAGCATTAAGGCTAACTTTAAAATTCCCCAGTAGTTCCCTACAGCACCTTCAGGTCTTCTCAGGAGCAGACACAACTGAGAACATCAAGCAACCCATATATGATTAAGATACCGAAAATATCTGCTTATCAACAAATACTCAAGAAAAGTAAAATTCTACTACTTAAAGCTCTTTTCACCTGCATTCTCTACAAACTAACTAAATAAAAGAGAAAGGGGACTATAACTGGTGCTTACCTAAAGAGCTCAGCTCCTATGTTGTCACAATAAAATCCAACAGATGTCTTTATTTCAAGTACAGCTAACACTAGAGGTCAACCACAGTGGAGAAAGATTATAAGCTAGGTTTTCTTAGTGGTCTCCACCTGTTTTATATCGAGTATCAGGTGTGATTATTAGCCTCAGCTGTGAGAGTAAAAGCAGGCTCTCCCTGATCTGAGTCAGGGGGATGGAGGGGCTCAAGGTCAAATAGAGCTGCTCAAGTTGGAAAGAGTGGTAAGTAGAAATAGTTTTTCTGAGCTGTCTGGTTACTGGATTGTGCTTAAAAAAACAAAAATAAGTCTTTGGTAGCCATACTAGAACATGTGCAATGAGAGATGTCTGTCTGAAGTAGCGATTCCACTCATCCTCCTTATTCCAAGGGTTCACATCCCTCTCTATCACAGTGTTCTATACCAGAACTACTGAAGGCAGTTATCAAGGATTTAGCATATGATAAAATGCAAAAACCTGTTGGTACCACTGCCAAAACAGAAGCTACTATATGTATGCTATGGTTGCTAAATGGTTTCTGAATATCTCTTAGAAAAGTTCTTTCTGGCAAAAATGGAGCGTAGTTAGTGATAGAAAAACTAACAGCTGTGAGAAGGCAAATAAGGGAGGTTTTAGGCATTTGTGGGATTACGCATTGAAAGGAAAGGTTCTTTGCTATATCAGGACTTAAAACAGATGAAAAATGAACTTGATATTATAACTTTTTAAATTCAGATTTTCAAATAACTCCTCTTGGTACCAATAATGTACTTATTAAATACGTTGAACTGAAGACAGGCAGAACGTTGTCATGTTTACAAGAGAACTTCAGCAGTGCTTGACTGAAACGAGCAGCTACATCAAGCCTATGTGTTACTGCTCATAATTATTTCTAATTCTACTAGAATAAAGCAATTATTTCTAAAAATCAATCTGCACGTGGTAGTATAATGCTGGATAACCATTTTAAGCTGCATGTAACATGCAACGCTAATTTGAAAACACTGGTTACATGTAATGGGTGGAGAAAGATATTAAATCAGAATGCCAGAAAAAAAAAAAGAAACCTGATTCTCAGGGTGATACTAATGACTTCCAGTTCAATCTTTGTTCTGCAAGTTCCTTTCTCAGACCAGCTGGGAGGAAAAACAAGCAACATAAACCAGGTTTGGGTGTGCAGTAAGGTTAAGGGATATTTTGACTTGAGAAGTTAATGCAATGCTTTTATGCAGTGCCAAAGCCTCAAGGGCTTCTTTAAAATTCATCAACAGACAATAAGCTACAAAAAGGAGAGTGACATGAGTTCAAACTGAAAAAAAAAACCTGCTCCGTTATCTCTACAGAGATATTTTCTTCTTGCCACCAAATTTGTTATCATTCAAGACAACCACACAGCACAGCAAGAAACAAGCATGCATTTTATTCTTAGATAAATCTTTTGGCATCTTTCATTTGGGTTACAGAGCTTAATGAGCTATGAAGAGATATCATCTGGATGAAAAATCTCTGTGCCTTGAAATGCAGAGTAGATACTAACTAGTACAAAGCAATTCTCTGCAAATGTCTGTGGGAAAGCACTGCTGTTTGAGAGGACTGTTAAAGCAGTTATTGGAGATTGTGCAGGTTTTTTCCTGCAGTGTTTTTTTTTTTCTTTTTCTCTCTGCTAGGTGGTAGAGATCAGCTGACCATAAAAGCAGGCTGAGATCACCGTAAGCTTTGTTGTTAATTACAATAGGAACTGAAGTATAGGAAAGATTATCATAAAGATTCCTTTCATCCTCATTTTATTTTAGTTTGAAGGACGTGGTTGAATTTTCCTCAGAGAGCATTAATAACTTCAGCTCACTGGTAGCTTTTCATCACAGCACGTTCTAAAGTCACCCAAAAGTAACAAAACAGTACAAAACTAGTGCAGAGTGGTTCTGACAAGAAGCCAGTCCAACAAACAGCTTACATCGTTTTCCCAAGGTTGCACAGAAATTCTTGAGTCCAGTTCTTGTTTTCTGCCAACAGTGTTAGTGAGAATGGCAGGTGCAAAACAGATTAAACTGATTACCTTTGGAGGAAAGCACAGCTAATGTACAGTGATCCTTCTCTAACCAGCTGTAATGTAAACAATAGCGATATTTGAAGTACCTTTGACATTTCAGGTGGACGTTGTATTTCTCCAGATGCAGAGAAATGTTTTGGGAAATATTATACTGTATTTCTCAACAGATTAACAGGTAAACAGGATAGATATGGCATTAGTCTGTTAGCATGCAAGATTTCTGTGTACTTTTGAAAGTTAGAGAAGCTCAGATCCCATACAATTTCTTTAAAAGCTTCTTCAAAAACAAGACAGTCTAATGAAATACCAGCAACTAAGCTATGCCTATTACAAAGCTGTGCCCCAATTTTGCCTAGCTGTCTTTTAGTCCATGATGCAATGCTTTCTTCTAGAGATAGGAACTGAGTATAATTCAGCTAATAGTCAGAATCCCATCTCACATACAATAATATCAAGACTGCAGCACAAGCCTTAATATTATTTCGTATTCTCCAGAGTCTTGACAGAAAACAAATGATTTCACGTACACTAAGCAAAACATTCTTAGTGACCAGTAATGGACAAGGAAAGCAGCTCTCCTTTTAATGTGGCTCTGAGTAAAACACAATAGATTTTTCTCTCTCCTTCTTCAAAAGGAGTGTTTTCTTGCATGCTGTTGCCCATACACAAGGTGTAGAATTAACATCAGTGGAGGGATTCAGGAGAATTAAAGCCCCTGTTGGTATAGACTCACATCATGTGTAAGAAACACCTGCTAAGGAATACCTGCATTCCTGCTTTGCCTTTCTCTTGCACTCTCTCTCTCCCTTTGTGAGATTCCCTCTAGCCCTACTCATTCTCTCTTGGGAGTAATTTAAAATTGAAAATTTGCCATTCTTAATAATGAGACTGAAATGGAAACGTAGTCATAGAAGTGTTTGTATAAAAACAGTACATTCCTACCATAAATCTCACTGTATTTTGACTCATCCATTTACAGGGCTCCTTTGTCTCATGTATTATTAACAAAGCTGTTAATTAGTGCTCCAAGCCTGCAAAGTAATGTGAAGCAATTTCAGTAACTGGTACCTGCTCTCTTGGTTGTACCTTTACAACTGGAGCTTGCACAGCCTTGACTCCAAGCAACCAGAACAAGTTTGCAGAGATGTCAATTAAGGTACTTTTACCTGAAAATCACAATCTGAAATCAACGTGCCACATTTAAAGAGGATTTTTTAAAAAAAAGTCTCTTTTCTAAAATAGAATCTAGACAACCACTTGTTTACAAAAATGAGAGGAATGGTTTACTGGGAACTTATGCTTAGCACAAGGCTTAGAGTCACAAAAGCACTGCAAGAGGTATATGTGTGCAAATCAGAAACAATACATCAGCTATCTGCTGCTTTTATGCCATGGCATGCATAATGGTAATTATAACCCAAAAGCCCAGCATCAAATTGAGGGGTTTTGTAGGTCTTCATAGAACTACTTGGCTTGCTGTCTCTTCTGAAACATTTCAAGCTTAATGTAAATTAGAATCAGAATTATAATTTTTGCCTTAACATTTAGGGAAACATTTAGCAGTTTTACTGGCTATGCATGCTTTTTCAGAATGTCAAAACTGCAAAGTTTGCACTATTTATTCATCTCTTTCAGGAAATAGATTCACACCTTGGAAAATATTTGCAGAAAAAATCGAAGGTTATAAAACATCAGAGCAGTTGTGTCTTTCTTGAGACCTAGGACTGCAACCAACTCTCACCTGCAGGTAAGTCTTTGTAGTAAAACAGCTGAACAGTGCATGATAAATGTACGTGTGTTCTGGTAATACAGAGCATACAATTGCTTCTATGCACAGCAGCAGATGATGTACTGTTGTCTGAAAGAGAATACAATCCACATCATACTGATGCTGTAAGAACAATATATTATTTCAAAAAAATGTTTCATATTGGTTTCAAATATCTGACCCTTCAACTCAGTAATTGAAATCAATGTGATCACAAAAAAGAAGGGAAAAGGTGTTGGCTGCAGTTGGTATATTGGACAGAAATTATTCAGAAGTGAAAGAAATAGGGGAGATGGTCTGGCAATGGACGAGTAATCAAGTAATTAGCAGCAAGAATCTGCTCCTGATGTTAGGAAGACAGACAAAAATAGAGACAGAAGAAGAGTTAAGATAGAATGAAGGGAACGGGGGAGGCTAGGAAGCAGAAAAACAACTGAAAAGATATTTTTTGCATTGGGGAGTAGATTAAAACTACAAAATGAAGACGATTACCCTTGGCCATGCCTATCTACAGTGTGAGAAAGTCAATGCAATTTTGTGCCCCAAGCCAAAAGTCAATGTGAAGTATGGCAAACAGATGATAAAGGAACATGTAGCTCAGAAAAGAAGCTGTGCATTAATGTGAAGCAGGATCTGTACTGGGACTTAAAGCTGGGAAGAAGCCTAGAGCTGAAGGCCTGGCAGAGCAGAAAGTCAAGGAGTTACAGATACTGGAGATAACACTGAATGCATTACAGTGGGTCAGCAGAAGAGGCTGAGCAACAGGAAAAAGACCAACAAACATCACATACTGGTGATGTGGTAGTAAAATGATGTAGAAAAGAAGGAGGCATTGAGTGTGCAGTTCTGATGGGAGTAAGGACAACTACTGAGACTACAGAGAAACAGTACGTAGCTAAACTAGGGGTGAAAAGATGCTTCTATAAATAATGAAAAAGTAGATTCTCTGTTTTGGTTGACCAATTACAAAAGTACAACCTGAGTCATTAACAAGAAAAATCAAAACAAAACCAAAGAAGCAGAAGGAGGACAAATAATACTTCATTTAGAGAGGTGAGAGGTTCTTGTGTTAAGCATTCACTTTTAGTAAAACTCAGAAATGTCAATGAAATAGCTGAACTAGACTGCCATACACCTGGTACATCTTGTGAAGGGGCTCTGTGTTACCACACTGTTCCATCTTAAGATTGAGCAGAGTGAAGTGAAACATTTGGTAAAACAAAATGACCTTTGCTATTTGTATGGCTATTTCTT